TTCCTGTGTGCTGACTCCTCTAGCCTCCAACTTGGATGCTTGCCTCCCTCCATCTTGGAACTTTTCCTTTTGGAGAATTTTTTTACAGATCTCACCACCCAAACCTTTGGGTTATTTTTGCTGCTGCCAGATTATTGCCATAAGAATGATCCCAACAGCCATGGCAACATGTTGTTTATATGTATCAGAATCATACCTACCTGCTTAATATGGTTCCCATCTCCCTATTTTATTTTTAAAATGACCCTGTAATGTAGTTTAGCTAAGGAGTATTGACTGATCCAAGGATCCCTGTGAATAAACTGGGATTTAAACTTGTATCTCCCAGTTCTAAGTTCAACACTTTGACTGTTGCACTGTGAACTGGTTCTCGCTAATCAGGGTGGCTTTAGAAATGATGCCAATGCTAAAATATATTGATGGAAATAGTATGCACCAATTAATATTCTCAATTTGCATAATGTGAAAAAATCTAACTTTTTGCCATATGCAGCTTCATTTGTTATGCAAATTAGGGTACAAACCACACATTGAAGGAAATGCAGATTAACTTGCATTCTGTCACTGTGAAGTCCCATCAGAACATCTGGTTCTCTTCAGTATAAGTTACCATGCAGACAGAGGAGCAAAAAACCTTCTGACTGCAGTTTCATCTGAAGCACCTGTAGATGGCATGAACCAAAGGAACTGCCTTAAGAAGGTTTTCCATCCTCAATCACTCATTTCCTCATCATATCTTGCTGGTTGATAGGTTCCATAACATGTGGAAAAAATAAACAAATAAACAGGAGCTCTGCCCAAAATAAGCTGGTAAAAAAGAGAGGTGTCTTAGAAGAAAGGCTTTGCAAAGTGAAGTGAGTGTTGACATGCTGTGTGTGTGTGTGCACTTGTGCTTGTGAACTCTCCTTGTCCTGCCTTGTGAGGTAACAGTTAAATTTTATTTATTTATTTGACTTATATACCGCCCGTGTAGAACATGTCTACTCTGCGTGGTTAAAGGAAAGGTGTGTGTGTGTGTGTGTTGGTTGGTCTGTCCTTTCTGCATTTGTTCAAAGAGTACACACTGAAAACAAAAGCAAAAGACTTTTTAAAAGTAGAAGGTCTCTGTTGGGGAGGAAAAGCTATGGAAAAGAGCTGTGGGATATTGGGCTGATTTGCATTTCCTGTTGCATCATGTGTGGTGACAAAGGTAGCATATAAATAATTTATATAAAAAGTAAAATGAGAAAAATGTCAATCAGTCTGCCCCACACTAGAGATGGACACAAACTGCCATTTCAGCAGTTCATATGGGTTCATTCTTTGGATGCACAGGTGTTCTGCAGGTGGGTTGCCCACTTTGAGGGAGTGTCCCAGGCTTTCCTGCCCCTCCTCCACCTCTGAATGGGTACCCAGTGGAGAGGTGGGGGACAGAGGCCAGGGTGCCCATGGAACACCTGTGCACCCAAAGAATGAACCATTATGAACTGATGAACCATCTTTACCCCATACCTATAGTATTTTCCATATTTTTTCCCTGTGTAGTCAGGCTCTCTAATTTGCATAACATGAAAATAGTCTGCCTGGATTTGGAAAACTGGAATACAGCAGTGCTGTGGAACCACGATAAAGTAAAAGGACCGTTCCTGTACATGCATATTGTTAAATTCTCTAGATGAGATGTTGTTCTTTTTGAATCCATTAAAGGACTGAGCAAGGCAGCTAAAATGAAGGTATGTGATACAGACGTGTGAGATGTGAGAAAGTGTTATGCATTTCAGTACTAAAATGACAAAGATCACTGAACATAAAGTAGAATATGACAACTCAATAACTGTGTTTCTTCTATTAATATGTACTGGAACAGAACATATTTATTAAAGGCTATTTCCCTTTGACATTTCATTTTACACATTGTGGCAGCTATAATATTCATCTCTCAAATTTATTATGGATGTTAAGCAGCCATCCAGGGGGCATAATTTCTAGCATTTGTCTCTCCTACACTTTCCACACCCTGAAATGAGACTTCTTTCTCAATATATCACCCTGTTGACTCACTTAAATGTACCTTTTATTTCTGCCTGATGAGTACCATCACAAGGCATGAAGGTCATGGCATAACTGTATTATGTAGTACTGTATGATGTAAAGCAGAGACGAAATAGAGTGAAGGGGGGGAACAGCTCAAAAAAAAAAAAAAAAAAATGGTAAAACAGAGACGAAATAGAGTGAAGGGGGAGAACAGCTCAAAAAAAAAAAAAAAGATCTCCGTGTTATTGTATATTGTTTTCAGCAACTATATGATTGAAATGTTTCCCAAAATAATCAGTTCAAAAGTTATTGTATATTGTTTTTAGCAACTGTATGGTTGAAATGTTTCCCAAAATAATCAGTTCAAAGTTACACACAGAGGGAAAGGTAGGAAAAGAATTATTTTTCTCTTGCTATTTTATCAGCATGAAGACTTGAGCCGTGCAGAATTCTGGATGCAAAATGGTTATTGACCATAATCCATGCGCAGCATGGCCAGAAATACATGCTGCTTGTGGAAATCAGGCTGTTGCTGTCCAAAGCCACAAATGTGTGCATCTCTAATTGAAAAAGAAGTTTTGTGTGTTGTTTTTATTTTTATGCCAAAAAATAAATTCTGCCTATTGTTTTTTATTATTTCAAATCAACAAGTTGTATCCGTATGCAAGGTGGGACAGTAACATGAAGGTAAAATACTGAGGTTCTAAATAATCGATAAGTGTTTAATAATAACAGAAGGGTGAAATTAACACTGCAAGATTTGTCATGTTCAATGGAAACATCCCTCCAACTTCTTGTCAGAGCTGTCCACCCCAATTCTGTTCCAGGGGTGCACACGCATGGTCTAGCCCTTATAAAACCAGAGATATCAGACAAAAGGTGCAGCCAGTCCTTGGCTCTATGGTGCGTGAGAAACAAATATTTCCAATTCATCAGCCATTTTTACAGAATATAAATCAAAGAAACGGGTAAATGTTGCAATCTAGAGAATGCATTTTCATTTTGCAAACAGCTGAAATCTGTTTTCAGGGATGCCTGTACTATTTCTATGCGACCAGGGCATGGAAAGTAATTAATCCATGACAAGGAATGCTACTGGGGGGGGGGGTTATGGCAGTAGTAGTCACTAAAGAAAAGAAAAGAAAAGAAAAGAAAAGAAAAGAAAAGAAAGAAGTAACTTTTCAAAGCTCTTTATCTTACCGAGTGTCTCTCTTTAGTAAGGGAGTTGGGCTTGCTGACCCTTGCAATCCCTTCCATCTCCACAGTTCTGGAGAGTTGTATCTATGATTCTAGGAGTCTTCCAGAAACATAAGGTTCCTGTTTATTTTCCCCAGGCTTCTTGGAGCCTTGCTGAAAGGTTAGCTAGTTGTCCTGAAGAAGGAGTCGGGTGGGAAAGGAAAATGGGAGAAAAATGAAGAGAAGGAGTATAGAGGATTCAGATTGTTATGTGTTTCTGTCAGTTTTGTTGAATTTATGGTTCCTTATGTGACAGAACTAATTGCATATGCACTTGACTCTTTGAAGTGCTTTTCCAGATGTATGTATTAAATGAGGTTTACATTTCTTTAAATGTGCGTAGGAAATTGATATGTTTGTACTCATTAGTCAGATGTATGTTCTACTAAATTAAATGAGGTTTACATTTCTTTAAATACATGTAGGAAATTGATATGTTTGTACTCATTAGGAAACAGAAATTGGCTGTTACTTTCTTGGACTACCACCGTGGTCTGAGACTGTCTGGCAAAGGGATTCTGGATTGTGTGGTGTCTCTGCTGAAAATGTATTAGTGCTGTGATATGAATTTCATTCCCAGTATAGCGTAGCAATAAATAGAGATGGACACAAACCGCTGGTTTGATGGTTTATGCCAGTTTATCCATCAGACAAACTGGTGATTCCCAGCCCTGCCTCCTCCTCGCACTCAGAGGCGGTGCCCTGGCTTTCCTGTCCTGCTTCCTATGGGTGCTACCTCTTGAGAGGGTGCCCACTGGAGGAAGTGGGGTTGGGAAGCGCTGAACACATGTCCATACAAAGGATGAGCTAGTGGTTCATGCCCATCTCTAGCAATAAAACAAAACCACAGTGCACTAGGGGTTTAGGAAGCAGGATACACACTAACACTTGCTTGGATGTGGGTGTGAGAAGTCAAATATGACAAACTATGATATTTTCTAGTTTTACTAAAATGTTCAGTCTACATCTCTGAGGGAAATAGCACCTTTTATTTTTTATTTTAAAAACAGCTGTGTAAGGCAGGTTTGATTTAGAAGTACTGACTGGTTTAAGGATCCCAAGTAAGCTTTGTGACTAAGCAGGGGTCCCAATCTGTTATTTCTTCCCCATTATGCTATATTGGGTTCCTCAGATTGGTGATTACTGTGTAAATGATTCCAAAGTTAAAATATATTGGGAAAACATAATGTAGTAATTTATGTACTTAATTTGCATAAATGAAAAATCCACATTAATGAGTGTATTGTGCAAATTCAGGATTTGGAGAACTAGAATATGTGGCAACTGTATCCACAGAATTCTAGGTTCCCTGGAGACCTTTGGTGGTGTCCACAAGGAAGAGAAGGGGAAATGGGGAATTTGACCCATTAGCAGTATTTATTTTGTTGGTAGAAGACAATATTAGAGACAACCATTAATCAAAGCTAAGAATTAGCAAAGCGATGTACGTATGACAACCCATCCCTTTCAATGCTACATTATCAAATGCTAGTGCAATCTTTTAGCACTCTCTGTGTGAAGCCTAGGCACTGAAGGATGCCTGCTCCTTACTCTGTTCCCATAAAAAAAGCTCTTAAATCAGTAAAATAAAAGCTAAAAGACATTTCTGTCATGACTGTATTGAAAATTTTAGACCTTGTTTTAGACCTTGAGTTTTGTTCCAATAGAAAGGTACACACTTGCAACATTTCTTGCAAGACATTCGTGCATCAAAGACATTGTGTGTCATATGTGGTCTTTTTCTGTGTTAGGGGTTCAGAAAAATTCGAGAAGAGCTGTATAAAGAGTATGAAGATAAGCATTTTGGCACAGAGATCTTAAGTCGACTGGACCTCTGTGCCATGCATAAAAAGAAGCAGGATTCTGGTTACTATCATTGTGAATGTTCTATTAATGTATGCCCCACAAATTCAGATGGTAATAAGAATAAAGATGAACAAGTGGATGATCCAAAAGAAAGCATTCATGGTGTTCCTCCTAAAGATGGCATACTTGACATAACACCTGGAGACAATGATCTTGTGCATCAAAATAATTAGAAAGTGGATGGAAATGTTGATGAGCCTTTGGCCATAACGGTGAGCGAAGAAAATGGTGTGAATACAACAGATACTGAAATGAGAGCCAAGGATGAAATTTTCAGTGTGGACTGAGAATGGTTCAGCTCCCGAATGGTTGTCAGCAAATCTTAAATTATTGAAGTCTAAGAAAAAGCAGCCTTGATAGATGGAGAGTTGGAAAGAGTTGGACAAGAGAGAGAAGGCTTCTCAGCAGCTAGCCATTAATGTGGAAAGGTACAAAGTCTTCTTCAACTAGAAGCAGATGCAAACTGCCACTGGTGATGTCAAATGCAAATATATGGCAAAGTACTGCAAGGGAGGGGGAGCAAATGCTGTGGAGTGGGTCGGTCACCTATCATTAGTACAAAATTTGATTTGTGTAAATAGTAGGAAAAAATTTTCATAGTTTAATCACAAGAATAAGAGGCACTTACACATTTCAGTTTGTACAAAAACTATGTTGCGTTTTATTAAAGCATTTTGTTAGAGCATCATTGTTGCCTGTCTTTTTTATTGAATTAATGACAGTGGTTCTTTTTTAATAGATGCATATATTTAACTTTTATAAATGTTTCACCATATAGGATGAGTGATCTTTGGAGTAAAGAAGGAAACATTTCATTTAAAATGGCAGGATCTAAACAAAAATTGGGTGCTAAGGTAGACACTGAAATTACAGTTGAAAAGGTTGAATTCTTAAAATAATTTGTTCAAGAAGTCTTTAAACTATTATTGGGTTTCTTCCCAGGTTAGGAATCAATGAATTAACTCTCCAGTCTTCTCATTTTTCTATGTATTGGAATTGCAGTAGGTACAAAATATATGGAAAAATATCTGAGCCAAATCATAGTATTCTCATGCAATGTTATGATATAATTATATATATTTATAACTAACTATAAGTAATGAACTGGTAATAAATAAGATACAAAATTACTATTCCAGCTATCTACTACAACTTATACTATATTCTGGAATTTGGTTTAACATCAGAATGTAGTAGCATACTTTTATTCTCATGCAATGTTATGATATAATTATATATATTTATAACTAACTATAAGTAATGAACTGGTAAGAAATAAGATGAAAATTACTATTACAACTATCTACTACGACTTATACTATACAGTATTCTGGAATTTGATTTAACATCAGAATGTAGTAGCATACTTTTACCAGTAGATGGCACAAATGGAAAAAACTGGCAAATCAGATGAGCTAAGGAGTGCCTTTTGTTTAATGTTAAAAATCTAGAAATACACAGTTGTCAAAATGAATACCTTTTACATCTCTAAAATAAAGAACTGTAACAGCACATTAATGGCAACAGTAACATATATTCATTAATAAAGAAAACTGTATGCCAGTCGTTTTCAAACATTTTGGTTTAAGGCACAGTTACTATATCAGATTGTCTTGTCATGATCTATCTGCAAGTGTGTTGATCCCTTTCCTACTGCAGGAGATTCTGAAGGTATTTCTAGGGTCCACAGTCAGTTTTTAAAGCAGTGACTGGATACCCACATCAAGAATGCTGGATTTCTTGCATTAACAAGGTTGGACTAGATTATATCTTGGTGCCTATCAAGTTAAATTCTGTAACTACATGATTCTGTTGGATACCTCTTTGCCTCAGTTGATCTGAAAGTTAACATACTGGAATGCACCTTTTCTGGGTTCTGCACTGTAAGGAAAGATTAATGGGTAGGGAAATTTATCTACTGTTACTCTTTGAGCAACTGGGTGACCTAAGATGCAGGTTTGACACAATTCCGGGAGGCAGTGGAAGATAGGAGGGCCTGGTGTGCTCTGGCCCATGGGGTCACGAAGAGTCGGACATGACTAAACGACGACGAAAATGCAGGTGTTGAAACCCCCCAGCTCTCAAACCGTTTTTGCAATGGTGTTTACTCCCAAATCAGTGAAACAAACCACTTTTCCTAGATATTTTTCTGATATACTGTATATTTTAGCTGTGTTGGGTAGAATCAACATTAGTGAGGGGTCTTTCATGTTTACACAAAAGAAAGAAGAAATACAAAAAGGTTCTCTTTTTAATCTTTATGTTGATTATGAAAGAGAACCTCTAAACACACCTCTTCACTAGAACCTTGTCTGACCTGGCTCTTGAAAGCAGCCAGACCATTAGCAACAGAGTGGGTGGTGGCTATTATTAATGGGTTTCTCCTTGAGGGCAGGGTTCCCCTTGCCCTCAAGGAGATGATCATTAAGCTCAGTGGGCCCCAACCTTGGGCCTCCAGATGTTCTTAGACTACAACTCCCAGAAGCCTTCACCACCACCTCTGCTGGTCAGGATTTCTGGGAGTTGAAGTCCAAGAACATCTGGAGGCCCAAGGTTGGAGACCACTGATTAAGCTGATTTCAAAAAAGCCCAACTTGGCAGATGATGATGTTAACAACTATTGACCAGTCACCAGCCTCTCTTTCATTAGCAAGTTAGTGGAAAGATTGGTGGCTGATGAGCTTCAGGTGCTTCTGAAGGAAACCAATGCTCTCGATCCATTCCAGCTCGGGTTCAGGCCATGTCATGGCATGGAGATGACATTGGTCACTCTGCAAGATGACTTTTTGAGGGAGGCGATAAGGGCAAGGTTGATGGCCCTCCTCAACCTGTCAGTGGCCTTTGATACTGTTGACCATGGTATCTTCCTGGAAAAGCTCTCTGGGTTGGGGGTCAGATGTCAGGCCTTGCCAATCAGAACATCAGGAGGGAGTAGGAATTTTGAATTTGTAAAAGGGCCTAGATTAGGAGGATTAACCTGCCTTCTTGGATTGTGCTGCCTGCCTGCCTGCTTCTGTGCCTCCATCTCGGAGACTTTCCTCCCCTCTTCCTCCTCCTTCTCCTTCTTTTTGCATTTTCCCATTGATTTTTAGTGGAGACTTTCCTCCCCTCTTCCTCCTCCTCCTCCTCCTCTTTCTTTTTGCATTTTCCCATTGATTTTTAAAGTGATTTTTCCCAATTTATTTGGATTATTTTTGTTGCCACCATCAGGCATAGTGTGCCTGTGTCAGAATACCTCACTGAGATTGTCTTTTGGATTCCTACCCCCTTCTCTATTTCTGTTCTTCAGTTGATTATTTTTGCTGTTGCCTGCCTACTGCTGCCTGCTGGTTAAATGGTAAGCGGGAAGAGAATTTTATTGTTATTTTGTTAATTTATAGTGTATTTTTGTGCTAAAGTGCACATTTTTTCCTCAGTTGTTGTTGCCTGCCTTTGGAATAAATCAGTTGTCTGTTGCCTTGTCTCTGCTTTATTGGAGTGGTTTTTAAGGGTTCTTTAGAGCTATTGGACTACTAGTGACAGAAAATACAGGCTGGCAAACCCATAATGAAGTGACCCAAAAGAATCAAAGGGCCCAATGTATGAAAAATATGAAATCAAAAGAGGCACCCCTTGGAAAAAAAAATCTGCAATGAAACAAATGTGAATATTTTTGCAATGCATGTCCTGCAAATCAACACCATTTCCCCTAAACCATTTTCAGATATTCTCATCGTCACAGTTGAGTATTGCTATCACTGTCTGTGTACTGCTGCTCCACTCTGGTTTAAAGAGTAGCACATGAGTGCTAGAGTAAGAGGTTACAGAGATACGAGAACTACTTGTAGGGTGCCTTTGCACATTTAGTTCTTTAGATAAATGGGGGCCCTTCTGTTGTTCACACATCATATTTTCTGGACCAGGACAGTCAATTATAAACTGCCATTAATAATCATGTAAGATGAAGATGATAGACTTCTGCAAGGTTGCCTGGTCAAGGAGCATATTTATAGGTAGTGTATACATCGTGTTTTGTGCTTCCTAGCAGACATGCTATGTTAAACAGGCCACCATTTGCTAGTAATATATGGACTACTGAAGCAATTCCACCGAAGTCATTTGAAGTGTACAATCATAAATCTGTTCACTTCTACGAACAGCACAATTTTGGATTTTGAAAAAATTATTGCCTTTTACTGAGAATTTATAACTTTCTTCAGGAGCAGTGCAACTATGTAAGCAAGGGGAAAGTTATAATAAAAATGACGGAAACATGTTTTACTTGATGGTTCTGGCTATCTGGCTCAGCTAGCATTAAAATGCAGCAACAAAGCAGTTCTTCCAGATTTCCATAAAAACAGAACTATTAAGAAGAAAGATCTTTAATGACTCTTCAGCTGTTTAATTGCTCTTCTTATAACTGTAACTGGAGTATGTGACACATGAACAAGTGTTTTTTCAAACAGCTATTGTTTAATCAAGGCTCATTAATTAAATTTCTGTAGCTAGATGGCAGCGGACCATTGAAAATATGTGCTAAATATGCAACTCTTTCACAAGGCCTGGGAAGAATTTTTGTATGGGAAATCACAAGTTTTTCTAGCATGTATCATATGTTAGTTTCTACATGCTTGCTAGGCTTCTCCATCTTATAAAGTTATAAGCTTGCTTTTTGTAAGGTTTGTACTTACTGTGTTTATTAACTAAACATTCTAACTGTTTCAAAAATCAGAGACCATTGGTTTTCTCTAGTTCTACCAATGAGAGAGCCATGTTTTTGATTTTATGCCAGCAGTTTTCATCCAGATCAATTTTATAACCTTTTTTTCCATTTAGGATGTCAGCAAGATGAGTGGGAGAATGCTTATAATATGGGACTAATAATCTGGTGCTAAAGTTGATTAATTATTTTCCTTTATGTGGAAGGAATGGCCTGATGCTGTTCATATCCATGATATTTTGTCTGGAATACTTCCTCCTCAGCGCTTGCTTGCTTTCCTTTTCCTGATGGCTAAGTGACAATTAATGCATATCCCTCAAGGCCTGTGACACTTTACTTTTTAAACCACATAAAAGCAAGAACATATCTCCTCTTACCCCACCCCAATCAGAAGTTGTCCTTCAGCTCTCCCCTCATAATGGAGCCAGGCATATTAATACGATTCAGCACCAACTTCTTCCTCTCTGCTTTTAGATTAATTATTCTGACTTTTCTTTGGTACCTATGAATCTCAGGACTTGGGAACCGAAGTCTGGCCCTTGTGAACCATCTTTGAGATTATGAAGGTATATCTTTTATCTCTTCGTCAGATTGCTAATGTGTATTGACAAAGAGATATGGAAAAAATGTAATCTAGTCACTATTGGTGTAAACTCAAGATTTTCTGTTGCTTTTTTAAAATCCTTGGTCTGGAAACCATGCTGGATACCCACCTGCCCTGATGTCTGGACTATTAATATGCAGAAGCAGTCTGACAGGATACTGGGCCAGGTTGTCTGAAACATAGTGCTAAAGCATCTTACACCTCTTGGAAAAAGTAGTGATCACAAGCCACTGACTTGTCAAAGTAATTTATACCACATTCTTCTAGCTATTCTTCTTCAAAATAGGACACACTGAAAATGGCAAAATGGAGTGATAAGGAATGAGTGATATTGAGGCAGGTTCAAAAGCTTGATTTGAAAAATTCTAGCTCCCT